AAACGACTACACTCCGGAGAACAGTGGACACATTGAAACATCAAATCGAGGCGCAGACAAACATGATCACCAATATGCACTCGGCGATCCACGCGCTCCTCAACAAACAACCACAACCGCAGCAACCGCAGCAACCGCAACAACAGCAACAACAGCAACAACAGCGAAAACCACAACAACCGCAAGGACAGAGAATGCCCCCTCCAGCGGTCCCACAAACAGTTCCCCAAGCAGCGCCACAGGCAGCTCCTCATGCCCCCCCACCCGCACCCCCCCAACAAGCCCCACCTCGTGGATGGAAGGCAGGCACCTGAGCCGCCGTGGCCTCGGCACCCGGTCCTGCCCAAGGAAACTTCCAGGTCATCGAGAGGAAAAAGAAGTCCGCAAAGCCAAAAGCGGACCCCCTCTTCAAACCAGAGTACACCAAAATCAACAGGGAGATCATTGTTGAAACTACTGCCCCATCCGACGTTAACCCCTCCGAGATCAGGACCCTCGTCAATGCAAGAATCCAAGACGAGTCCTGCCATTTTATCTCAGCAAGAAGAACACCCAAGGACAACTTCATCCTGGAAACAAAATTTGTCACCCCTACAACAAAGGCAATGGAATATGCCAAAGAAATTGAGGAGGCCCTCCTCACCCTACAGGTACCGGTTGCTGTCATCCGCGCAAACTCTAAATGGTCAAAGTTTCTCCTCCATGGAATCCCCACAACGGTCGGGGAGGGTATTGAGGCGGGACAATTGGTAGCATCAGAAATCAGAAGCAACTACGGAGAGAACTTCCAACTTGCCCAGGTTCCCCGCTGGATCTCCAGGGCAGAAACTCGAATGGAGAAAACCCACTCATCAATGGTCATCGCGCTCCCAGGACAAATTACAATGGAAACACTAGGAGTCAAATTCCTATCTCTTTTCAACCGAAGCTGCCATATCGAGGCCTTCCTCCCCACCTTCCCGGATACCCAGTGTGCGAAGTGCCTCGAATACGGCCACCGCCAGGAGAAATGTAAGAACAATGGGAAATGCGGCCACTGCGCCGGAGATCACCTCACCAGTTTCCACCCATGTAATCAATGCCAGGGAGGATATAGATGCACCCACACCCCAATCAGATGTCTGAACTGTAAAGGAATCCATAAGGCCTCCGACCCGGCATGCCCTGAAAGAGTCAAACGCCGATTCCTCAACAAAGGAAAGGAAAACGCCCCACCCGCCCAAGACCCACCGGCCGCACCCGTCCAAGAGTTGCTTCCAATAGCTCAAATACCAGCTACCGCCCCGGTCGGAGCCACACCCATTCCCGAAGACGACCAACACATGACAAATAATGCCTAGGCCCCGAACCACCGCGCTCGCACACCAACTCAACTGTGCACGGAGCGAACTTATTACCAAGGCGGCGGTAGAAGAAGCGGAAACAGACTCTAGCATTTATTTTTTATTATTACAAGAACCATGGACCTCAGCAGAAGGATACCCACCAGAATCAAACCTCTTTTATATTTTCACAGCCAGCAACACCAATACAAAGTGTGCAACATACGTCCGCAAGCATGCCAACCTCAAACCAAAACACCACTATACACACGATAATTTCATAATATCGATTACGGTAGAAATCCAGAACAAGAAAACCCAAATCCTAAACATATACTCCCCAGGCCGAAGCGGCCCCTTCGCCCAAGTAGCAAGTACAATCCAAACCCTTGACAATTGCCTAGTAATGGGAGACTTCAATTGCCACCACCAAATGTGGTACGGAGTAAATTCACATGAATACAGAAACAATATTCGAGCAGACCGCGTCAATGGTGTACGGCTAAAACGATGGATAACCCGACAGAAACTGACCCTCCTGAACGAACCAGGCGTCTTCACGCATTTCCCCAGAGACAGAGGGAAAAGGCCCACAATCATCGATCTCACATTTGTAAAAGGACCAACACTCGACCACAACCTACGATGGAGCACCGAACCCTATGGAGCAGGCTCAGATCACGGGAGAACCTCTGTTCACTTACACTTGGAGAAACCACCTTTTATACCTAGACGAATGTGGCGACAAACAGACTGGAAGCTATTGGAGAACCACATGTCAAACATTTCCATCCCTGCAGAGGCATGGGAAACTAAGGAACATACGGAACAAACTGTCGACTTCTTCCTAGAACTGGTCAGGTCAACAGTCAACATAGTAACACCACTCTCGAAGGAGGGGGTAAGAGCCAACTCCTGGTGGTCAGATGAAATGAAACAAATGAAGGCAAGGGTAAACGCAGCAGAAAGGAAAGCGAGAAACACAAGGAAACCCAATCACGTGGAGGAACACCGGAAGGTTTGCAGAGAATGGACAGTCATGATCCGGAAAGCAAAAGCGGACCAGCGGGAAAAGACGATGAACGAGGCGAAAGGTAGTGAAGTCTGGAGAATCCTAAACGCAGGAAGGAGAAGAGACACAATCATACCAACCATACAAGGTGAAGAAACGTTTGCGGGGAAGTGTCAAGCTCTAAGAGCCCAACTTTTCCCCTCGAAACGGACGTCCCCCGACCATCCCCCCCTAAACATTAGACTCCCCTCTTTTGACCTTAGCAACACCTTCGACATAGTCACCCCCGAAGAACTTAATAAAGCAATCGACTCCTGTCCAGCGCACTCGGCGACCGGCCCGGATGGCATCCCGTATACCTTTATTAAAGCAATAGTCAAAGCAAATACAACTCTAATCCAAGACATGTTCTCCGCCATGCTCCGGCACGGTGTACACCCAGCGGAATGGAAAATAGCTAAGTGTATCCCGATCCCGAAACCCGGTAAAGCAAACTATCATGAAGCAAAAGCCTACCGGCCTATTTCCCTTCTACAATGCTTCAGCAAAATCCTGGAAAAGATAGTGGCCCAAAGACTTTGCACCGCTGGAGAAATCCTAGGTACACTCTCAGCGAACCAATTTGGAGGAAGACCAACTATCTCGGCAATCGACGCCCTCCTGAAGACCTTAACACCAATACAACAAAACCTACTTCTGAAAAACAGTACCGGAATCGGCCGGCGAGACAGACCAGCGATCCTAACCAACGACATCCAAGGAGCATTCAATTGTGTCGACCACCTACTCCTCGCGGAAATCATGCACCAACAAAAATTCCCTACCTATCTGACAGAATGGTGCAAGGAATTCAACACCGGCAGAAAACTACAGTTCCAATTTAACCACGAGCTAGAGGAACCACAGCCCTATGATTCGGGAGTGCCGCAAGGAAGCCCCATGTCCCCGGTACTATTTATGATCTATGCTGGAGTAATCCTGGACCCAACAAGCAGCCCGAAAGAGATGGACACCACATACATCGATGACGAGGCGCTGGTGCAAATATCCAAAACACCAGGCTTCACAATCAAGAGAATGGAGGAACGAATGAGAGAGAGACTAATAAAAGCCGAGCCACTCCAAATTAAATACGACCCGGATAAATCCGACCTGATCTTCTTCCGGCCCACCACTTCATCTACACGACAACCACGACTTCCAGTCAAAATCAACAACACCGCTATATACCCCAAAGAGAGGCTGAAATATGTAGGAGTCTGGATAGATCCGACCCTCTCTTTCCGGCCCCATATCGAAGCAGCGATCGCAAAAGGCCTGAAAGCCCTCCACCAAATCCGAAACACTGCCCGCCTGCCAGGTATCACAGTCAAGACAGTTCACTATCTAATAACACAAGGCTTCCTTCCAAGCCTGCTCTACGGATCCGAGGCTTGGTGGACTGGCGCAGACCACATTATTAGATCCCTCGAACCACTATACAATGAAGCTGCCCGGATCATTACAGGCCTACCTCGATGGACCAAGAGAGCTAAACTCCTTCGAGAAGCAGGCCTACCCCCTCTAGAACATCTCCTCACTTACCGCTCAAGGAAGTACGGAACCAGAATACTCTGCACCGATGCAACCCACCCCAACAACGAATCCCTGATCGAGCTCCTCCCATACAGAGAAGCAAATATCAAAGGGACAGGCCTACACCGAATCGCCTCCCTCCTACTCCCATATCAAACTCCCGGAAATGCGAGAGATAAGTGGAATCAAAATAAACTACTACGCGACCACCTGTTGGAAGAATGGAATACACAACCAATACCGAACTACCATCACCGGGGGGAATTCCGCCCCCCTCTCAAGATTGCAAAACTCACCCTTACGGAAGCAAAAAAAGTTTTTCGAATCCGGTGTCAAACTACCCGAATCGACAAACACGCAGTATATACAGATCCCGAACCATGCCAGTGTGGCATGGAAAACTCAGCAAAACATATACTTATGGAATGTCCAGTGTGGGCTCGAATTCGCGCCCCTCTGATAGAGAAGATCCCCGGAGCGATGACCTGGGAAAACTGGATGTTTATAAATTTGAGAACGGATCTCATCCTACAATTTGCGAAAAACTCTCAACTCTCGAAATGGTACGAGTCGGCGGAGGCGGAGGCGGACCTGGAAGAGGGTATGGAAGAAAATGATTAGGGACGGGATTAGGAAGGGCAGTTTTCTTTTACCTTTAAATTTCGGTTTTATTTTTCTGTTTTGATGGATCCAGCGCTCGAGTCCGCTGAGATATGTTATTTTTCCTCGTCGTTGGGTTTTCTGGTTGAGTGTTGTTCTGGAATTTCCCTGTTATCGTTTGTGTTTGTTTGTGTTTGCTTTGTTCTTGTTTTTGTTCGTTTGTGTTTGCGTTTGATGTTCTTTCTTTCTTTTGGTCGGTTTGTGTTTTAGGCGGTCGGGTCGGCGTGCGATAAGTCTTGTACTTCAAAGCAATATAAGTTTCTTCTTCTTCTTCTGTATTTATTCCACGAATACTACTTTTGTTCTACGCTACGTCATAGGGCTCATCTTGGATCTCAGATCAGGATTGAACCGCCTCATAGTACATAGTTACGAACATCTTCTACTACGTTCTTGCCTCGGTTGTATTCCTTGGCACTATAGTCCATCGTTCATAGACCCACGTTATATTCCGTTTGTCCATCCGTCTGGGGGTGAAACGCTGTAGAGAACTTTGGCGATATTTCCAAACGATCGCAAAGGGACCTCCAGAATTCCGCAACAAATTGTGTTCCTCGATCAGATACCATAGTTTCAGGGAGTCCATGTAATTTCCAAACATTATCGATATACAACCTCACTACTCCTTTTGAATCCGCCTCTTTAGTTGTAGGGATCAGATGTCGCATCTTGGTTAGTCGATCCACTACCACCAATATCGCATTATATCCATCGCTTTCTGGAAGGTCAGTAACGAAATCCATTGATACGTCCCTCCATGGTCCATCGGGTATTGGCATAGGTCGAAGTACCCCATAAGGTGCATTGCGTGGTGCCTTGCTACGGGCACACACATTGCAATTCCTAACGTACTGGTCGACATATTTTCGCATCTGTGGCCAGTAGTACTCTCAATTCAGGAGTTCCAAAGTCTTCGCTCTGCCTGGATGGCCTGCCGATGGTTTATCATGATGTTCCTTTAGGAGTCTTGGCCGAAGATCGTTGTCATCCGGTACATAAAGTGCACCACGATAAAGTAGCCGACCGTTATTGTCTTCCGTACATTCGGCAAGCGAAATCTTATTCGAGTAACGGACGCTATTCCGAAGCATTACAAGGACTTTGTTCGGGAAACTGTCAACTTGATAAGCATTTGAAAACAACTCTTCTACAGTGGACATTCCTTCAGCGGATTCATTTGAAAAAGAACCCGCGAACAAACTTAGCTTTGCATCTAAATTTTTTCGCTTCAACACCACTTGACTCTGATGGGTCAACCGTTCATCCCCTTCTTTAGGCAGGTCACCCGACCTCCTAGTCAATGCATCTGGTTTCGCCCCTTGTTTTCCTGGTCTAAATTGAATAACGAAATCAAAACGTGAAAGAAATTCCGACCAACGGGCTTGTCGACGGTTTAATAACTTTGTTGACATGAAATATTCGAGGTTCCGATGGTCGCTAAGAACTTCAATTGGGAATTGTGCCCCCTCTAAATGATGTCGCCATTCCTCAAAACATCGTACGATTGCCAGGAGTTCTTTGTCATAGATCTCATAGTTACATTCCGCAGGGGAATGTTTCTTAGAGAAGAAAGCGACTGGATGTAGAATTCCTTCGTCGTCACGTTGGGACAGGATTCCAGCAGAAACATAGTCGGATGCATCGGTTTCTACGACGATTTTCCGATCCGGATCAAAGTGCATTAGTATGGGTGCCGTTGTGAATATTTTTTTTAATGTCTGGAATGCTTCCTCCCTTTCATCCGTCCATTCGAATTTGACATTTTTCTTGGTCAGAGCTGTAAGCGGAGCAACAATTTTTGAATATCTCAAAATAAACCGTCGATAGAAATTTGCAAATCCCAAAAATACCTGAACATCATGGAGATTCCTTGGTGTGGACCATTCTAATATGTCAACAACTTTCTTCGGATCCATCCTATTCCCATCCGGAGTGAGAATAATGCCGAGATATTTCGTTTCCTGGACCATAAATTCACATTTTTCAGGTTTAAGGTGAATATGATTCTCATCAAGTACCTTCAAAACCTTCTGGACGTGATCCTTATGTTCTGACAAAGTTTCCGAATAAATTAGGATATCATCCAAATAAGCCGTAACAAATTGATCGAGATAAGGCCGTAGGATATCATTAATCCAATGTTGAAAGATGGCGGGGGCGTTGGCTAATCCGAACGGCATTACTGTATACTCGAAATGTCCATATCGAGTTCTAAATGCCGTTTTCCATTCGTCTCCCTCCGCTACCCTGATCTGATTGTATCCCCAACGTAGATCCAACTTGGTATAGTACTGTGCCTTCGAAAGTTTAGCCAAAGTTTCCTTTAACAGTGGTAACGGATACCGATTTTTAACCGTGATCGCATTGAGGCCTCGGTAATCTACACATAGCCGGAGAGTCCCATCACTTTTCTTTACGAATAGTATAGGTGCTCGCGCCGGTGATTCACTGGCCCGAATAAATCCTTTGGGTAAGTTCTCATCAAGATATTCCCGTAATGCTTTCAATTCAGTCTGCGACAGGCTATAGATAGGTCCATACGGTGGTAGTTTACCCTCTTCCAAAATTATTTCAATATCATGGGAGGGTCGGTGAGGTGGAAGGACTGAAGCATCGTATTCTTTAAACATATGAAGGCGATGGTGGAATTCCTTTGGTACGAGTTGCTTGACGTCGGTGGTGAACTTATCAGCTACTGAGCTGACAACTGTATGAAATTCTGGTAAGGGGATCGATATGCCATGGACAGTAACCGCCGTTCCACTGAGTGAACAGTGTTGACAGCAGTTCCGAGAGTTAAAAACGAGTAGATTTTCCTTTGATCGAATGGTAACATCATGTTGCCGCATCCAAGGCATTCCCATCACAATCGGATAGTGAATTAGATGGGTAACGAAAAACAAAGCAGTTTCCTGATGGCCATGGATATCTAACGAGAGGCGAGCAACATGGGTAATTTTTCCTGATTTGACTGGCCTACCATCGATTACCTCGAGTAGGCGTGATGTTTTCAGGGGTTCCAAGGAGAGTCCATGCTTTTTCACAAAACTTTGATCGATAAACGCATAACCTGATGCTCCCGTATCGATGAGAGCATAGGTGGGAATGAAGGAGTCGGGATTCTGGGAGACAGAACAGGTAACAACAAGAGAGTCTTCGGACATCTTATCCTCAGACACAGCAGCAGCAGGGAGAACAGAAACAGGTGGCGGGGCTGGTCCCTTTGGTTTTCCATTTTTTACCAAAGGGGCTGACCTTTTAACGCCGACTTTGGGGACCCATTTTCAAGTGGCCTTTCTCGCCAATTGTTAATGGAACGGGGATCTTTGGCACGAGGAGCCAGGTAACGAGGCTTGGAGACATGGTGAGATTTAACTGTAGCGGTGAAAACGGAGATACGAGAACGAAGGTCAGCAATAATGGCATTGGCTTGGGCCTCCCAGGCCTTTGCAACAGAGGTGATGTGAAGAACTTCATCTTCAGCATCAGCGAGGTTCTCGTCAGCGATAGCGAGACTTTCCTGATGTAGTGCCAGGCGATACCGAAGCTCCTCCTCTTCAGCCTTAGACTCCTCAAGCTCGCCCTTGAGAGCAACGATAATTTCATCGCGGCCCCGGATAGTCTCGGTAGACTCTTCCTGGCATTCAGACAAGGTTTGCAATAGATCGGCAGCCTTTTCGTCAGCTGCTTCGAGTTCCTTGGTGAGGCCGATAATGACCTCTTCTTGGGCCGTATCAATAACGGGTTCGGGGACTTCGGAAGGATTGATGAAAGCCTCCAAACATTCAGCAATGAGATTATGGGCTTCGGTAAGTTCATCACCGAAATCTATATCCGTTGGGAGAGGACCATATGTGGTCAAAAATTCTGAAAGACGCTGCAACAACGTATCTTGAGTGGTGTCGGACATGGTCGCGACCAGAGCTAAGCGAGGCGGTGTTGTATTGGTTGGCTGTAGAGGATGCAACCTAAGTGTAACGGGGACTATGGGCGTAGGAACTATGAAGCCAAGGAATACAACCGAGGCGAAGACGTGGACGTAGGAGGTTCGTGGACTATGGACTATGGGGCCGAAGGGTACACCTAAAGCAAGAACGGGGACTGTGGACTATGGATGGTTGTACCTGGTCTAGTATACCGGGTAAACCCTATGACGTAGTGCGAACCAAATAGTGTTCGTAACTGTAAAGTACAGAGGTTGCATAAAGAGAAAAGAAGAAGAGAAAGAAACAAAGAATCACAAGACAACGCCCCCCTTATATATCCATACCCAATCCTAATGCTGACTCATACCCTCACATAACAGAAACAGAAAGAACATAATAGAAACCCACTGTACAAATCCCAACCACATTATATAACTCTTCCTCTTCGTACCCCAACACCTCGCATAACCAAACCACATGGCTGCCGTTACAATGGAAACCCCAACGTCGACCACGGGCTAATAAGGGTATCACGCTGCTCAAGCTCTCCTGACGATATATGGGTAGTAAACATAAAAAGCATTTTGGGCGCCGCTCATTTGGTGCCTGAGACGACGTCATCTACGAACAATAGATGGTTTATCAATAGTACGATCGATCTATCGGCATACGGATCAATTTACTGAAGTAAGACGGGACGTTGGACTGAGTTTTTTATAATGATACTGACGACATGAACACCAGACAAGAGACTTTAGACAGGTGGACTTCTGACGATAGGTTTTGGGCAGGGGGGATTATGACGAACGGGGAAGACAAACGGGAATTAGGCGGGAGTCCTTAGACATGTTAAACAGTGGATATTCGACGCACTAGATTGTATTGTACATATCAGGTGGAAGGTATTAGACGGGCCCGGGGGTCATTGGAGTTTGTATTTTAGACGAAGTGATTATTGGACTTGGATTTTGGACAGAATTATGTCCGAGTCAAATGACGAGGATTTCCCAATTGAGCCATCTTCGTCTTTTGACGGGTAGTGAAGACGGGGACATTTGGCATAAGACGAGCGTAGGATAGATTGATTCAAAAGACGAGCTAATGAGGTCGCACGACCGGTTTCGTAATTGGAGCTCTAAATGGACAACGTTTTGTGGTCGAATGACGGGCGGCCAAAAATAGCGGGACATACGACGAGATCCCAGAGCCAAAAGACGAGGTCTTGGGGGCAAAAGACGAATTTGGGCATCTGGGTGCCGGAATTCGTCTTGGGGAAACCCATTTTTTGCTGATGACGGGGACCCAATGCTTGCTCTTTCTTGATGTTTAGGGCCTTGACCTTTTCAATGCACGGTTCAAGTACCTGGCGGGGATTGAGGGGATATATTCCAGTAGCTTTGAACGCGTTGAGGATGTTTTTGGGTGTATGTGTAAAGGTACGGGCCTGCATCAATAATCTATATATCGGATATTAGTGAAAATTAATAGATAAAAAGAAGAATTTCAGCTCACGGGAAGAATGTCCCCTTATGAATTCCAGTATTTCCGTTTTGGGTCCAGTCGTCTAAAGCATTTGTATAATGGCATTGTAGAGGACCAAATAGTCCAACATCTAAAGGCTGTAGTATGTGTGTGGAGTGTGCGGGAAGACAGAGGGGTATAATATCGTTGTCAAGACAATAGGAAAAGAATTCTCAAGTGCAGTGCGAAACATGTCCATCAAGTATCAATAACTGCGTACGACCATTCGCTCTGTTATAAAAAATTAGTAATTTAACACACGTGAATGAGGAGAGTAATAAATGGATTGTTACCGTTGAGCTGAGTTAGGACCAAAGTTTTGTGTCAAATACTCTAAACCAATAATATTATTGGTCCACCCTTTCTTTGAATAACTAAAATATGCCTTTTCGTCTGCGTTTACCAAACCGTGCCAACCTTGATACTGTGCTTCTCCTTTATATATTATAAATAGCGGATGTAACGGCAGCCATGTGGTTTGGTTATGTGAGGTGTTGGGGTACGAAGAGGAAGGGTTATATAGTGTGGTTGCGATTTGTACAGTGGGTTTCTATTATGTTCTTTCTGTTTCTGTTATGTGAGGGTATGAGTCAGCATTAGGATTGGGTATGGATATATAAGGGGGGCGTTGTCTTGTGATTCTTTGTTTCTTTCTCTTTTCTTTTCTCTTTATGCAACCTCTGTACTTTACAGTTACGAATATTATTTGGTTCGCGCTAAGTCATAGGGTTTACCCGGTATACTAGACCAGGTACAACCATCCATAGTCCACAGTCCCCGTTCTTGCCTTAGGTGTATCCTTTGGCCCCATAGTCCATAGTCCACGAACCTCCTACGTCCACGTCTTCGCCTCGGTTGTATTCCTTGGCTTGATAGTTCCCACGCCCATAGTCCCCGTTACACTTAGGTTGCGTCGTCTACAGCCAACCAATACAACACCGCCTCGCTTAGCTCTGGTCACGACCATGTCCGACACCACTCAAGATACGTTGTTGCAGCGTCTTTCAGAATTTTTGACCACATATGGTCCTCTCCCAACGGATATAGACTTCGGTGATGAATTTACCGAAGCCCATAATCTCATTGCTGAATGTTTGGAGGCTTTCACCAAGCCTTCCGAAATCCCTGAACCCGTTATTGACACGGCCCAAGAAGAGTTCATTATCGGCCTCACCAAGGAACTCGAAGCAGCTGACGAAAAGGCTGCCGATCTATTGCAAACCTTGTCTGAATGCCAGGAAGAGTCTACCGAGACTATTCGGGGCCGCGATGAAATTATCGTTGCTCTCAAGGGCGAGCTTGAGGAGTCTGAGGCTGAAGAGGAGGAGCTTCGGTATCACCTGGCACTACATCAGGAAAGTCTCGCCATCGCTGACGAGAACCTCGCTGATGCTGAAGATGAGGTTCTTCACATCACTTCTGTAGCAAAGGCCTGGGAGGCCCAACCCAATGCCATCATTACTGACCTTCGTTCTCGTATCTCCGTTTCCACCGCTACAGTTAAATCTCGCCATGTCTCCAAGCCTCGTTACCTGGCTCCTCGCGCCAAAGATCCCCGTTCCATTAGCAATTGGCGAGAAAGGCCACTTGAAAATGGGTCCCCAAAGCCGGCGTTAAAAGGTCAGCCCCTTTGGTAAAAAATGGCAAACCAAAGGGGCCAGCCCCGCCACCTGTTTCTGTTCTCCCTGCTGCTGCTGTGTCTGAGGATAAGATGTCCGAAGACTCTCTTGTTGTTACCTGTTCCGTCTCCCAGAATCCCGACTCCTTCATTCCCACCTATGCTCTCATCGATATGGGAGCATCAGGTTATGCGTTCATCAATCAAGGTTTTGTGAAAAAGCATGGACTCTCCTTGGAACCCCTGAAAACATCACGCCTACTCGAGGTAATCGATGGTAGGCCAGTCAAATCAGGAAAAATTACCCATGTTGCTCGCCTCTCGTTAGATATCCATGGCCATCAGGAAACTGCTTTGTTTTTCGTTACCCATCTAATTCACTATCCGATTGTGATGGGAATGCCTTGGATGCGGCAACATGATGTTACCATTCGATCAAAGGAAAATCTACTCGTTTTTAACTCTCGGAACTGCTGTCAACACTGTTCACTCAGTGGAACGGCGGTTACTGTCCATGGCATATCGATCCCCTTACCAGAATTTCATACAGTTGTCAGCTCAGTAGCTGATAAGTTCACCACCGACGTCAAGCAACTCGTACCAAAGGAATTCCACCATCGCCTTCATATGTTTAAAGAATACGATGCTTCAGTCCTTCCACCTCACCGACCCTCCCATGATATTGAAATAATTTTGGAAGAGGGTAAACTACCACCGTATGGACCTATCTATAGCCTGTCGCAGACTGAATTGAAAGCATTACGGGAATATCTTGATGAGAACTTACCCAAAGGATTTATTCGGGCCAGTGAATCACCGGCGCGAGCACCTATACTATTCGTAAAGAAAAGTGATGGGACTCTCCGGCTATGTGTAGATTACCGAGGCCTCAATGCGATCACGGTTAAAAATCGGTATCCGTTACCACTGTTAAAGGAAACTTTGGCTAAACTTTCGAAGGCACAGTACTATACCAAGTTGGATCTACGTTGGGGATACAATCAGATCAGGGTAGCGGAGGGAGACGAATGGAAAACGGCATTTAGAACTCGATATGGACATTTCGAGTATACAGTAATGCCGTTCGGATTAGCCAACGCCCCCGCCATCTTTCAACATTGGATTAATGATATCCTACGGCCTTATCTCGATCAATTTGTTACGGCTTATTTGGATGATATCCTAATTTATTCGGAAACTTTGTCAGAACATAAGGATCACGTCCAGAAGGTTTTGAAGGTACTTGATGAGAATCATGTTCACCTTAAACCTGAAAAATGTGAATTTATGGTCCAGGAAACGAAATATCTCGGCATTATTCTCACTCCGGATGGGAATAGGATGGATCCGAAGAAAGTTGTTGACATATTAGAATGGTCCACACCAAGGAATCTCCATGATGTTCAGGTATTTTTGGGATTTGCAAATTTCTATCGACGGTTTATTTTGAGATATTCAAAAATTGTTGCTCCGCTTACAGCTCTGACCAAGAAAAATGTCAAATTCGAATGGACGGATGAAAGGGAGGAAGCATTCCAGACATTAAAAAAAATATTCACAACGGCACCCATACTAATGCACTTTGATCCGGATCGGAAAATCGTCGTAGAAACCGATGCATCCGACTATGTTTCTGCTGGAATCCTGTCCCAACGTGACGACGAAGGAATTCTACATCCAGTCGCTTTCTTCTCTAAGAAACATTCCCCTGCGGAATGTAACTATGAGATCTATGACAAAGAACTCCTGGCAATCGTACGATGTTTTGAGGAATGGCGACATCATTTAGAGGGGGCACAATTCCCAATTGAAGTTCTTAGCGACCATCGGAACCTCGAATATTTCATGTCAACAAAGTTATTAAACCGTCGACAAGCCCGTTGGTCGGAATTTCTTTCACGTTTTGATTTCGTTATTCAATTTAGACCAGGAAAACAAGGGGCGAAACCAGATGCATTGACTAGGAGGTCGGGTTACCTGCCTAAAGAAGGGGATGAACGGTTGACCCATCAGAGTCAAGTGGTGTTGAAGCGAAAAAATTTAGATGCAAAGCTAAGTTTGTTCGCGGGTTCTTTTTCAAATGAATCCGCTGAAGGAATGTCCACTGTAGAAGAGTTGTTTTCAAATGCTTATCAAGTTGACAGTTTCCCGAACAAAGTCCTTGTAATGCTTCGGAATAGCGTCCGTTACTCGAATAAGATTTCGCTTGCCGAATGTACGGAAGACAATAACGGTCGGCTACTTTATCGTGGTGCACTTTATGTACCGGATGACAACGATCTTCGGCCAAGACTCCTAAAGGAACATCATGATAAACCATCGGCAGGCCATCCAGGCAGAGCGAAGACTTTGGAACTCCTGAATTGAGAGTACTACTGGCCACAGATGCGAAAATATGTCGACCAGTACGTTAGGAATTGCAATGTGTGTGCCCGTAGCAAGGCACCACGCAATGCACCTTATGGGGTACTTCGACCTATGCCAATACCCGATGGACCATGGAGGGACGTATCAATGGATTTCGTTACTGACCTTCCGGAAAGCGATGGATATAATGCGATATTGGTGGTAGTGGATCGACTAACCAAGATGCGACATCTGATCCCTACAACTAAAGAGGCGGATTCAAAAGGAGTAGCGAGGTTGTATATCGATAATGTTTGGAAATTACATGGACTCCCTGAAACTATGGTATCTGATCGAGGAACACAATTTGTTGCGGAATTCTGGAGGTCCCTTTGCGATCGTTTGGAAATATCGCCAAAATTCTCTACAGCGTTTCACCCCCAGACGGATGGACAAACGGAAAGAATCAATGCTGTGATGGAACAATACCTTCGAAGTTATGTTTCTTATCAACAGGACGACTGGGTTCGATGGTTGCCAATGGCCGAGTTTGCAACAAATAACCATGCTTCGGAAACGACGAGAATCTCTCCATTTTAAGCCAACTTAGGGAGGAATCCAAGAATGTCTCTTGGTCCTTTGGAACATGGTAGGACGACAGCGGAGGATCAGGCCAATAGTATTGCAAGGGAGATGAAGGATATATTAGATTTTCTAAAGGATGAATTATTTCGAACGCAAAGGATTCAAGAAGAGTCCGCCAATATACATCGGACTCCAGCACCTCACTATCGTGTAAGGGATAAAGTTTTCTTATCGACCAGCCATTTCCTCACCAAACGACTATCGAAGAAACTCGATTGGAAACGTATTGGACCGTATGTTGTGAAACGAATTGTCAATCCCTATGCCTATGAATTAGAACTTCCTCGTTCGATGAAAATATATCCGGTATTCCACGTTTCGTTATTGTCGCCCGCAGTCAATGATCCCTTGCCCGGTCAGGAACAACTACCTCCACCCCCAGTTGAAATCGAAGGACAGGAGGAGTGGGAGGTTGAAGATATTTTGGATTCGAGGAAGCGCCGGGGGAGATTCGAATATCTAGTGAAGTATGTCGGATATAATGAAGCTTCTTGGCAACCATTGTCGGACGTCGAACATTCGCCCGATATTGTTAAACGATTCCATGAACGTTACCCACGGAAGCCTAAGCCTACCAGGAGGTAGGCATTAGAGGGGGGAGTGGTCTGTAACGGCAGCCATGTGGTTTGGTTATGCGAGGTGTTGGGGTACGAAGAGGAAGGGTTATATAATGTGGTTGGGATTTGTACAGTGGGTTTCTATTATGTTCTTTCTGTTTCTGTTATGTGAGGGTATGAATCAGCATTAGGATTGGGTATGGATATATAAGGGGGGCGTTGTCTTGTGATTCTTTGTTTCTTTCTCTTTTCTTTTCTCTTTATGCAACCTCTGTACTTTACAGTTACGAATATTATTTGGTTCGCGCTACGTCATAGGGTTTAACCGGTATACTAGACCAGGTACAACCATCCATAGTCCACAGTCCCCGTTCTTGCCTTAGGTGTATCGTTTGGCCCCATAGTCCATAGTCCACGAACCTCCTACGTCTACGTCTTCGCCTCGGTTGTATTCCTTGGCTTCATAGTTCCCACGCCCATAGTCCCCGTTACAGCGGAAGTGCGAAACCCCCAGCTGAAACAGTTTCGATAACTGTGATTAGCTCCCGAGCTCCATCCTGAGTTTTGAAGTTTCTTTTTTTGCCCCTCCTACAGATCACTTTTACGCGAGCAGACCTCCCCATTAAAAACCCTTTTTCGTCCATATTGTAGGTATCGTCAGGAAGTATATTATGTGTCACAACTACGCGCCGAAGCTATACAATTTGTTAGCGTAGTGTGACACAACATTGGAACTCCCATACCTGTGTAAAAAAATCTTTCAAAACCGCAGGATTACTGGCATACGAGCGTTGTTTGTCCAGACGGGTTGAAAATTTAGAAGCTAAATCAGGATGACGAGCGAGAAACCGTGTTAACCAGTTCTTGCCTAGCTTGGGTTTTCGAATTCCATGACTTCTGAGGAAATCTAAAGCCATATCCTTCACATATTGGTGTCGGGGCGGTGTAACGGGGACTGTGGACGTAGGGACTATGAAGCCAAGGAATACAACCGAGGCGAAGACGTGGACGTAGGAGATTCGTGGACTATGGACTATGGGGCCGAAGGGTACACCTAAGGCAAGAACAGGGACTGTGGACTGTGGATGGTTGTACCTGGTCTAGTGTACCGGGTAAACCCTATGACATAGCGCGAACCAAATAGTATTCGTAACTGTACAATACAGAGGTTGCGTAAAGAGAAAAGGAAAGAAAAGAGAAACAAGAAATCACAAAACAACGCCCCCCTTATATATCCATACCCAATCCCAATGCTGACTCATACCCTCCATAATAGAAACAGAAAGAACATAATAGAAACCCACTATACAAATCCCAACCACACTATATAACCCTTCCTCTTCATACCCTAACACCTCGCATAACCAAACCACATGGCTGCCGTTACAGGCGGAAAACCCCAATCATCTAATTTCAGGATCCATTTTTTGATAGCTGTTTCCTCGATAGGAGTAAGGTTTTGCTGGTCCGTATGAGCATCTTGACGCGTTCTAGAACCAGCTAATCTGTTTTGAAGGGTAGTGTAGGCTATTCCATGCACGTCCGCTGCCTCCCTAATTGTCTTAATGCGCCCACTATCAAGGTCTCTCCTCGCATCCTCCACCCTCTTGTTGAAGTTCTCCTTTTCCTTTTCACGGCTTCTCCCCATCTCAATGATTGGTTTGGCTGTATTCCGGACTGAATAGTAATCAAAACTGGCCTACAACGAATAGAAAAACTCTTCAACTCAGGAGGATACAGAGGTTACACAGGACTCACTTCACTGATCGGTTACCCGGTGAAGGTCGGCTTCTAGGTGAAATAAGTTACCGGCGGGGCGCCAAGGAAGAAGTAGAAAGATTCATACCGCCAGTTTCGACAGAAATCGGGTGATGTTGACGCCCATCCACACAGTATCGTTTCTATATCTCATCTCCCCAAAATTGATATGAATATATCAATAAGTCTCTTTGGTAAATGTCCATGAAGCCCACCGAACTTACCAAGATACTACTAAAGAGTGTTTTGCAAAAACTCTATACATGTAGGTGGTGCCATGGGATAAGAAGCTACGTACATGGTTACAAGGTTTTAAGCTTCAACAACGTCATCAATACCGCCTTAGTTTTCTACTCTCATTATCCAGTTCAATAAATAGTTTTCTTTTTGTCACCGAGGAAGATAAATCTATCACAAATACTCTTCTAGTAGACACTCTCGGTACTCAGTCTTCCTAAAGTTAACCTCATTCCTAGCCCATACAGGCGTGGCTGAGTCTGTCTTGACATCCGATGTTTAGCAAAAAGCCAAGCCAAGGGGACGGTAATCAGTTTGCCCCAGGGCGTCACTTTTTCCCTAGTAAGAACTCTTATGATTGAATTCTAATCCATTTTTCTGCTACATGTACATTAATTGCTTTTGGTCCTAGCATAAAATGTAAGGAGGGCGAAAGACCATACCATCTGAATACTGTCGCGTCACTTTCGACTACAATGGGGTGATGTGAGCTTAAGTCTTATATATATAATCTTCACATTTCGTCACGACTGTCGGCTCGAAATGTTCAGAGTTCGAATACCGGCCCCGTCGTACTCACTGAAGTCTATCATTGTTCGGCCCAAGAATATTGACATGTATACGCTGTAAGCAGTAAACAGTTGGTAGTGGAAAGTATGCGCTCGGCGACCTCCCCGTACTTTCAGATGGAATATTAGCGCTAACACATTATTAGTTGGAGTTTTGTCTATTCGGTGGCAGTGCTCACCAATTTTTCCTAGGCTCATCGCATCTTTTACTCAGGTACTATGTGCGGCTAGTCAAAGAAAGCACGTGGATGTGATTTTCAACAAGGAAAACTATGGCTTCTGCATAAATGTACCTAACCCCAAGTCTGTCTCATACCCGACCACGTTTTCCCCACAATGCTTGGCTAGGGTCCTATCTAAAGTAGAGTATGTAGGTAGGCCTGGGTCTGCATGTTACCTGGTCCTTGCCTCTTGCTTTATATCAATAGCGGCATGTTCCGTTCTCTCGCTTCCTTTAGAGAATACACCCTCTCATTTCCAACGGCTCTCGCGGGTTTTATATCAAACGAGGGAGGAGGTAGCGCGCTTCGCTTGAGAGCAGTTTTCTTCTTTCTTCCTTTTTTTCTTTTCTTTTTTTGCCTGTAACTAACTTCAGGCAAAAGCAGATTTTCCCTCATTTATCTGGCCGAAATCGATTTAAAAGCAGAATCATCTTAATATTTTTCCGGAGGGACTTTCGGCCAACGGGTAATTATATATCCGCTGTTGCAGATTGATAGTATGACAATGAATTAGAATATAGTTTTGACTATATATATAACTTCATTCTTATAACCTTTGAGCGACGAAGAGAAGGTGTACTGCCTTAACGCATATCGGATTAGGGCTGATTCTCGGGCTGTAACCGTTAGAGGATAAAACTATGGTTATTATCCCACATTATCGCGCCCCTTAAAACCACATGCCCGTATGGGAGTTAACGGTCAGTTGTTGATCCTCCTTTAGTTGAGCTTGTCGGAATGCCATAGACTTCTAAAGTTCACTTTAGACCGTCGCCTGTGTGTGGTTTACTGCGCCAAGCTCCTAAGCTAATGGTATGTTCTAGGCAATCTGATCAGTCGTTATCGTTATCGCTCTAGAGTGGGTATTAATCGATCAAATAGGGCTGTGTATCACGCCAAGCTAGCTTCTCAATGAGCTGTATATCGATCGAGCAATCAGTCACTCTCTCCTTCTCAATACAAAGACTCTTGCCCCTCATTTCGATACCATTTTTTGTTGGGACACGAACCATGGTTATATACAGCATCTCCATATAGCCGAGCCTTGAAGCAGTCCCGGATATTGTTTTGAGCGGCACTGTCAATTCTTCCGGAGGAAATGACCGAGAGCAGATTTTATGGGAATCGGGATGATTAGTTATTGTGAGTCAATTCGCGGAGAGAGAGTGTGGAGTTGCAATGTTTCTCCAAGGCAGAGGAGCTCACTATGGTTCTTGTTGTGTGTAGTTTGTTTGTTTATACGCTCCCCATTAATCACGGCCCATGAGGAACGTCCAGTAGCCTGTCCGGGTAACCTATGCGGAATTCAAGATGAGATGCTCATTACCACCCCGATGCTCATCCACCCGCCGTTATGTTACACAACGCCCCCAAGTTGATATGGCATCGTGAGATTGGCTGGCCCAGGAAAGACGCGACTACCGGTGTTTTTTCGTTATCAGGAATCATTTCGCGTTGTCTAGACTTCCCTTTATCCCGCTTCCCCATATCGGTTTCTCTAGCTTCCATTTCCCCAGAAAATCACTCCCCGGATGTCCGGGGTTACTTGGCGGGGGGGCCGTTATCGTCGTCTTCCCGCAAGCTTTCCGAGTTTGGACCGAGGCGGTTTGAGGACGCATTTTCAGTGGCACTCGCAATCGGCTACTTGATTACCTACTGTTGCTTGTTCTTATTCTTATCATAACCGAAACCCTAACACAGAAGGGCAGATCAGTTATCCGGAGAATAAATGAATCATGATCGAAACTTGACCCGAAATGAAACATGGAGCAGCCCGGCCGTGAATATGTAGAGTACTCAGTACACTGCTGCCGTGTCTCTGGAGTGACTATTAGTGTTGATTGGAACTTCCCTTTGCCTCATATCTCGCTCTATCTATGCCCCCACTCTAGCAGCTAGAGTCCCTGTACCTAATCTCAACAAAAGTAAAGTATATGCTTAGATAGAGGCACATGCCTCAAGATGTGGATTCCTTAACATCTTCAACTAGAGACTTTGTGCGGGCGTGTTTTTTAAACGGCCTTTGGCCCCGACAGCTGCAGAATAATAACATCCTGTAACCCGCAGCCAAGGCTCAAATGGTTTCCCATGGGGTACAGGTACCTACATACGTCTGTACCTACATCCAAGTACCTGCTGCTCTGTTGGCGTGCTGGACTGGTCTGCATACAAGCCAAAATCTAAGCTTGCATGCACTCTAAGGTACTCTAGAGTGCCTAGGTGCTCCACTAAGCCGGCGTTTCCATAGACACGGCTCAATAGCTGAGGCTCTTGGAGTAGGTTTGTTACACCGCATTCTCCTGAAGGGGCATAAACATAGTACAGTCGACCTCCGTTATAACGAACCTGCATATTCCAAAATTTCTCGTTCGATACAGCAGATTATTCGGTGCAGGTAAAATTCTATCATTTTCTGTGAAATTCGGATTCGGATCACCAAAACCAGTTCGTTATAGCAGATCTGTGGCTTTTTTGGCATTCGGTATAGCGGAGGGCAACTGTATCTCTTGTCTTCGCCGCCTCATCGAGTGAAAGATAATGCTGAAATACTGCATAGAATAAAAGCAAAACCAAATGGTTCCTTTCCCCCGGTGTGGAAGGTGGAACGTGCCTACCTTTGGTCCGAGAGGTGGGAGGGTTGAGACAGAGCAATGGGATGCTTAGCGCGCCTCCCCCGCACCTTCGTAAAACCCCGCCAATCGTCATTTGTTTCAGCGAGTTGTTTTTTGACTAACACAACTATGTACCTAGGCAAATCTAAATCGAGAATCGAGACAGATGGGGATGGGCGAGCTTTCTCCCCACAGTCTGCGGTTTGCTGCCCTGCCTGCCTTTGGAAGGAAGTAGAATCACGCTAATTATGATTGGCGGGCTATCACTGGTAGTGTAGGTTAGTAGTCGGACCCCGAGGTTGTTTACCGAGCTTAAGGCTTTTGGGTAATGCGGCGGGGCGATTTGGGACTGGTCTTGGGACTGGTCTTGGACCCTCTCGTTCTTTATAACTGGGGACCTGAACCCAAGAGACGTGGCTTTTGCACACTATCCGTTCGCCCGTGTCCACGAGTATAACAAGAGGACTGTGATCTACGGGGTTTCCTTTCCATTCCAGTTCTCTCTTCTCCAGCATCTACTCATCAACAGAAGAAGAAGGACATAATAAGAAAGCTATTATCCCCTAAGGAAAAACTCTTCAATCGAACAAAGGAAACTAGAGATGTCGGAAGGAAGCATTGCACCCACCCCGGTGGTCATCGAGGCCCACAATGTCGAGAAGTACTCAGTACCGGAGAAATACTACCAGTAAGTATCCATCAAATGCCCTCGTTAAAGCAACATATCGTTAATGTTCTTATCCATAAAGGAAACATCCCTCAAAACCTCATTTGACACTTGAGGAGTACCAAGTACAATACAAGGAGTCCATCGAGAACCCTGACAAGTTCTGGGGTGAGAAGGCACGGGAGCTCCTCCACTGGGACATCCCATTCCAGACCGTCCGAAATGGATCTTTTCAACACGGCGATGTTTCCTGGTTCCTCGAGGGTCGTTTGAACGCTTGTTACAACTGTGTCGATCGATGGGCGTTCAAGGACCCCAACCGACCAGCCATCATCTACGAGGCTGACGAGCCCTCAGAAGGCCGTATCATTACCTACAGCGAGCTTCTCCGCGAGGTTTGCAAATTGGCGTTTGTTCTCAAGCAGATGGGCGTGAAGAAGGGAGACACTGTTGCGATTTACCTTCCCATGATTCCGGAGGCTCTCATTGCCTTCATGGCCATTGTCAGAATCGGTGCTGTTCACTCAGTAGTATTCGCGGGTTTCTCGGCGGAGTCTCTCCGTGATCGTGTTAAGGATGCCGGATCAAAGGTCGTCATTACCTCTGACGAGGGAAAGCGTGGTGGTAAGGTCATCGGAACCAAGCGCATTGTCGACGACGCCTTGAAGCAGTGCCCTGAGGTCAAGAACGTTATTGTCTTCCGTCGCACTGGTGCTGAGGTCCCCATGCAAAAGGGCCGTGATTTGTGGTGGCACGAGGAGGTCAACAAGTACCCCGGATACTGTGCTCCCGCTCTCATGGACGCAGAGGACCCATTGTTCTTGTTGTACACTTCTGGCTCTACTGGTAAGCCAAAGGGTGTTATGCACACCACTGCTGGTTACCTTTTGGGAGCAGCGATGACTGGAAAGTACGTTTTCGATCTCCACCCAGGCGACAAGATGGGAACTGCGGGAGACGTCGGCTGGATTACCGGACACACATACGCAGTATATGCGCCTTTGCTTCTCGGTGTTACCACTCTCGTCTTTGAGGGAACTCCAGCCTACCCCAACTTCTCAAGATACTGGGATATTATCGAGAAACACGGAATCACCCAGTTCTACGTCGCTCCCACAGCCCTTAGACTATTGAAGCGTGCTGGTGACCACCACATCAACAGGGAGATGAAATCATTGAGGGTTTTGGGATCAGTCGGTGAGCCCATTGCTGAGGACGTATGGAAATGGTACCACGAGAAGGTTGGACATGAGGAGTGCCACATTGTCGACGTATGTTTCCCCTACCCTTAATAATATTTTTTACCCGCACTAACTGTATGTAGACATACTGGCAAACCGAGACAGGTTCACATGTCATTACCCCTCTTGGCGGTGTTACACCAACTAAACCCGGATCTGCCTCGCTGCCATTCTTCGGTATCGAGCCTGCCATCATTGACCCTGTCTCTGGTGAAGAGCTTCACGGAAACGATGTTGAGGGTGTATTGGCCATCAAGCAGCCATGGCCTTCAATGGCCAGGACCGTCTGGGCATCCCATCAGAGATACATGGAGACCTACCTTAATGTTTACAAGGGTTACTACTTCACCGGAGACGGTGCTGGACGTGACCACGAGGGCTACTACTGGATTCGCGGCCGTGTCGATGATGTCGTTAACGTCTCTGGCCACCGTCTCTCTACAGCCGAGATTGAGGCCGCTCTCATCCACCACGAGGCCGTTGCCGAAGCTGCCGTCGTCGGTATTGCTGATGATTTGACTGGTCAAACCGTCAACGCCTTCGTATCGCTCAAAGATTCATTCTCAAACTCGGTCGAAATGCGCAAGAGTCTGACCCTCCAGGTCCGAAAATCCATTGGTCCTTTCGCTGCACCTAAGGCGGTATACGTTGTCGATGATCTCCCCAAGACACGATCAGGAAAGATCATGCGAAGAATCTTGAGAAAGATTCTCAGTGGTGAAGAGGATCAGCTTGGTGACACATCAACACTGAGTGACCCTAGCGTTGTAGATGCCATTATCATTACCGTTCATGAAACGTAAGCTACCCCAATCTTTATAAGGCTTTAGCAGAACACTAATTGAAGTCACTAGTCGCGGGTCGAAATAAATGAAAGTACCAGAAGTGTGGGATCAAAATTGCGTGAGGGAATTTCACGCGAGGGAACATCACCGGGTTTTCAATTCTCTAGCAGCCTTTTAGTTTCCTTTGTCTGTTCATCTAGTTTATTGTTGTTGGAACCATTTATGATATCTACAAGCAGTAGCAGCCCGTGTTCTTTTTTTGCAATTTTTGGCGGTGTTAGAAGTGTCTTTGTATCTCTTTGTGGGCTTGAAGGCGCTGAGTCAATGCAAATAATTCCTGAGTAATTTTCTCCTCCTTGATAATTGTGATATCAGAGATTCCGAAGATTGATAGATTCGGAAACTGTTCCTCCGGTATCCCGACCTAAACAAGTAATCATAATGCCGTGAAGCCTTTCATCCGAAAAAATCCAATCCATCTTTCAAATCTTACGTCCTACCCGAGGAACTCAGTGCGTCGAAATTTCTTCGCCTATATCAAGCTTTATGAAAATGACAATCACAGAGAATTGTAAAGACTACAGCATATGTGAAGTATGATGAAATGACGCTTGAGAGCTGGTAGATTGCAAGTTGTTTTAATTAAACCTTCGCGACCTTCGGGGCAGTTAATAATTGCAACATATCTCAGCAACAACATGCGTTATATTTCCGAGGTACATAAAGGTTTAGATATGCATCAATTGCAACTTTAAAAGAAAGGGTCAGACTTTGTCCTGAACTTAAGTGAAGCTGTCGATCCCGTTACCCCTAATAGTACACTCCATTCCTCAGATATAACTCGATACCGCTAGTGCGAACTTCTTGTGGGATAGCTCCCTAAAGTTATGTGGGGAAATGAACATGATGTTAAGAAAGAGGAGGTTCGATCATTTCAAGTTAAATGTTTACGTGATGCCGGCGGCTGTGAGTCTGTGACTGCTCCACAACCCAAAGCGTGCGCCAAGGCCACTTTTAAGCCCTAGCACCCACACACGCTGGTTGCTGTGTGAACTTTGAATCGGGCTCTCAATCATCGACTACGACAACACACAATTTCGGCAATCACCAACAACCTCATCGACTTCCGAGGACAGAAACAAACATGCCGGTACGCATTATCTCCAAAAAAAAAACCCTGTTATTTTTCGTTTGTTTTACGGGAGGATTTTCGCGGGGACATTCTTGGTGGAAGGCCGAAAAAAAACAATTGGGACGGGAAGAAATGAGCGGGGGGGGAATGAATAATGAACTGGGGAAATTGGTGAATTGAAGGCTAACGAAGGCGGTTTGGGTGTGGGTATAGACAAGATTGACCAAGACCAGAAAGCACCGTGGGCACGTCAGTGCCGGTCACGGTCGTGTAGGAAAGCACAGAAAACGTGAGTTCTTTTTGCACCACCTCGATACGGACTTTTTGTTCCCCCCGCCCTATATCACCAATTCCAACCAAATACGCACAACTCGCTGACGAATGGACTTTTGAATCGCTATAGATCCCGGAGGTCGTGGTATGGCTGGTGGTCAGCACCACCACAGAACCAACTTGGACAAGTACCATCCTGGTTACTTCGGTAAGGTCGGTATGAGGTACTTCCACAAGCAGCAGAACCACTTCTGGAAGCCCGTCATCAACCTTGACAAGGTCGGTTTTCTTCCTTCTCCCCTCGCCCAGCTATACATCAATAAATGCTGACATTATGGCAGCTGTGGTCCCTCGTCCCCGCCGAGTCCCGCGAGAAGTACCTTAAGGGTACTTCCGCCGCCGCCCCCGTCATCGACCTCCTCGCCCTCGGATACTCAAAGATCCTCGGAAAGGGAAGGCTCCCTAACGCTCCCGTCATCGTCAAGGCCAGATACGTCTCTGCCCTTGCCGAGAAGAAGATCAAGGAGGCTGGTGGTGTTGTAGAACTTGTCGGTTAAACGCAATTTCTCAAATTTTCTTCCTGTTCAACGATTTCTTTTTTTTTTTCCCAATCAATCACCGCGGGCCTGCTTTGTGAAAGAGAAAAAAAAATATCAAAACAAAATAATTAACAAAAACTTTTGATGTGAAACACTTTTCATGAACAGGTTGTGATTGGGTTGGGGGGGGGAGGCATAGCCCCGGGGTTGATTTAAAAAAAAAAAAGCGTTCTCTCTTTCTGTTTTTTGTGGATATTTATCTTCTTATTTTTCGCGTCGGTTCAGATTTTTTGGGGTTCATGGGCTGCTATGGGATGGGTAAATACTGAAAAGTCTTCAGCCAAATATTTTAGAAGGGGATCATATCGCATCATCGTACCTACGTCCATTCTGTGAAGGTCTGCTTTGGGAGCTCAAGGAGCTCTTTAGCATATGTATGCGCCCCCACTTGCCCCGCTCGCCCCAGCGCCATTGATAGATATCTGCATGAGAGTAAAACCCTGATTCTGGTTATGTATCATTTATTTCTTTATGCCTCATGATGTCGACGCAATCTTGCCTCCAGGGTGGTGTGGTGGTTGGGGGCCGCCGCTCCAAGATGCTGTGCCGTCAAGATCACATTCCTCTAGAATATATATGATCATCCATCGCCTTATCGAAGATTTCCCGGGCGGCTTTCCCTGCTTTTTTTCACCTCTAGGATCTTTAGGAAACGATCGATAATAATTGCTTGATTATTATCTCCACCCGTTGTAGCTAGAATCAGTTTAACCAATTAATCCCAATGTAGTTAGCGGCCCGAGTGATACTCTATGAACAACACTATGCCGCCTCTCCCGCTACTCTCCAGGGTACAGCCCCGTCATCTCCTAAGCTCTCTTCATGAATTACTACACCACTCCGTTAGTTTCTAGACAAAACCGAAGAGCCAAAGGAGTATCTATCACCGCAATGTTACCACCCCGCTCTTACCTAGGGACAGCGTAGAACCGGAGAGTATCACGGGCCAGAAGCTAGCCACAGACACACCAAGAGCACCGCACAGGTCTTTAAAGAAACTTCATTAACATCGATCTGTTCGTAGCTATGCCCACAATGCCTAATGAAGGACCACTTAGGCGGGGAAGACAATTGTGGAAATACCCGTCTCGACAGCTTGCTCCTTAATCGAAAGACCCTCCAAACCAAGACCCAGCCACCAAGCGGGAGGTGCTCTCTGCGAGTGATCACCCATGACCTATATAGTAGTATCGTAGCTAGAGCTGTCTCTTCACACCGAGACTACTACTACTACTACTACTACTACTACTCCTACTCGAAGAGCACATATTGGCAGGCGACTTAACATGTACCCACATCCTTCGTCGCCGTGTGTGCCCAGGGGAGAGAGAGAGAGGTAAAAGGAGGGACAGCTGCTAGTGGGGTGTGATGGATACTGCGGTTCTGGTCCGTCGTTGAATCCACACTTGTCTGATCATAGGCCCTGCGCGCCGCTTCACGGCATGGCGGACTGATATATAGATCTAGGCGGTGGGAGGGTTGCGAGAATTTAGGAAGGGCTTTTGATATTGTCATTGAAGGCATGGTATTGCGATTGAAGGTATGGATAAGGTATGTAGAGGAAAGGGAAAAAAAGAAGAACCAAACTTAGAATCGAAGCAATGTAATTCAAGACTGCCCCCCCGAACTAACTACATAGCCCACTGACTACCTAACTAACTAATGATGATGATGGTGATGATGGATGTATTTAGTACAGACGACTGCTGGGAAACTCCACAGCTTCAACTAAGTAGATAACACCCTCCCCTACGAACCGCAGTTGCTGTTAACGGTCTTACAGGCCGGTAGAGTATGGTAACGTCGGAGCGAGAGAAAGAGAAAAAGAAAGCATGCAAAAAAGAAAAAAAAAACGTATTTAGGACCCTATAGAAGTAAGCACCCCCCTCTACGCCAGCCACCCCACCCCACCCCACCCCACCCCGCACGTCATTCCGGCATCTCCACAGCAGCAGCAGCAGCAGCAGCAGCAACCCCAGCCGCCACACCCCCCTTCTTCCTCGGCCTCCCCGCCCTCTTCCTCGCCGCCGCGGCGGCCTCCCCATCCCTGCCACTACTATACCCACACTCCGGATGCCTCTTCAAGAACCGATAGAACCAGTCCTTGCCCACCCTCTTGCCCGGCTCGCGCCTATGCAGGATCTCGTGCGCCAGCTCATAGCAGCGGCCCCTGTCGACGCCGGGGCCCTGGAGCGCGCGCGCCACGAGCGACGCCTCCTCGTCGGGCGTCAGCAGCTGCTTCTGCCGGTTGGCCTCGGCCGTGCTGCGGTGGCCGGGCGTCTTGATGTGCCGGCGCAGCGTGGACTCGGGGATGTTGTGGCGCTTGGCGAGCTGCAGGACGATGGGCTTGGGGTGCGTGCTGGGGGAGTGGGTGTGTAGGGCGAGCGCGCGGCGGTAGTGGGAGAGTGCTAGGGAGATGCTTTCGGCGCGGGAGCGGGCGGGGGCGGTGGGGGAGGGAGCGGGTGATGGCGGGGTGGGCGGGGTGGTGGTGGTGGTGGGGGATGGTGGTGTTGGTGGGGGCGCTGGGGCTGGGGCTGGCGCTGCTTTGGCGGTGGCGGGCTCGGGTTCGGGTTCGGGGGTGGACATGCTGGGCTGGGAGAGGGCACTAGCCACGACAAACGATGAGGCGGCGGGGGGGTGTATCAAGCTATCAAGCTATCAAGCTATCGCCAAGAGCAAGTAGACGGACAGACAGAGAGAGAGAGGGTATTCTGCCCGACAGTTAGATATGAAGACCTCAACAGAGAGAGAGAGAGGCGAGGTGAAAAGCACTCCAGCCCTGACCGTCGCCGTCTTTATCAGTGGGTGTGTAGCTACAGTCACGCCCTGGTCAGTGGCGGATATCTCGCACCGGTCCGGTCACGGGATGCAGGCTGCGGTCAGTGCGCGTGTTTTGTGTTTTGTGTTTTTCGCTGCCGTTGCCGTTGCGCTGGTTGATTCGCCATGGCCCCGGAAGCGAGCGTATGCAATTAACGCGCGAGCTCAGGCCCAATTCTTTCTCACTCAGCCCCGTATTTCTGTCTGTCTCAAGCCACACAGAACCAGAGCAGAGCTGGTTTCGCGATGGCCGGGGGGATAATTGGCTGACAGAGAGCCTGAGTGTTTTTTTCTGCGCAGCTGCGCTGGGAGACAAACAAGCCAAGTTGGGTGGGCCCTTCTGAGAAGGGGGCACATGCGCGGTGCCAGTGCCAGTGACAGTGACTGGGATAATCGGCCAGAGCCGAAAAGCTTGGTGCCATGACGTCGGTGTGCAAACAGAGGTACTGAGGCTCTTCCTGTTTTCTCGGCAGTGCAGTGCAGTGGAGCATTGAAGCGCGCCTTGATAATTATAAGCCTATGTTTATTTGTAGGTATCGAATCTCTTACAATCTAGGGTAGATCTATACAATGACATGACGAGTACATACATGTGGTGAATAAAGGCCATTCGTTGTGCCTTGTCGAATTTGTAGAGGGCCCGATGTACTAGGAAGACCCAACAGGTAATAGGATGGATGGCTCTGTCACGAAGGAGGACATGTTCTACTTATGCAATTTAAGACCTGCAGTACATGTGCACTACGCATGCATACCGAACCAGCGGTATATAATGCGCAACCACACGGCTTGGGCTTGGGATTCGTCAACCTGGTTCTGACCACTTACGACCGAACCCTGATCCAGGGGGTTTGGGAGTTTTGTTTCCCTGCATACATGTAGTATCAACGTCGATGGTCGACTCGAGTAGAGTAGGTGGCAGTTTAGCTCTTTCAAAAGGCTCTTATCCGGTAGGAGGGCAGTGTCTAGAAAATCCCGCCTGGACAGTGCGGCTGTTTATAATTGTCCGATATCAGTAATGATGGAGATGAGATGAGATATCTCGAGCCCGAGCTCGCCAGTTGGGAAAGATTTCAACGGTAAGCTAGTGAGACTCCTCAAGAGACCGCTGCAGCAAGTCTCAAGAGCCACGAACGTCCATACACAGCGGCTGCCTGGAGTATTCAAGCCAGCAATTCTCCATCAAAAACCTATGGTTCGAGTTATTGTTATACCACTACCAGTGGCTTGGGCCCCTTCGTGAAATGGGCTGAGGCTGCTTGGTCAGTTCATCTTATATACGCTGCAGCTGTCGACATGTCCCATAATAGTTATAAAGCTTCTTTCTTTCTTTTCTTTCTTTCTGTGCCGCGGGAAACCTCGAGTCCTCATCACGATCTCGAGACTACATAGCTGGGCTTATCCATTGCTATATATCAATACACCCCATCCACCCACCAATCTTATCGGCAAATACAAGAGTTATCGCCGCCAGGATTTCTTCTATGTAGCAATCCCGTCACTAACCGAGTGACACCCTGTGACGCCACCAAACCAGCAAACAATGAAACCACCACAAACAAAAAGACGCACACCAACGCCCCGGTTTCAACTCCAGCTGCAGCCCACCTGGTACGTGGGAACAGCCCCAAAAAAGGTGTAAGCTTGAATTCCCCCGGCCACCTCCCGCACACCACACACCGCACACCACACCAGCGGCCTCGGGCCAACCTTAAGGCCTCAGCGGGCCGTTTCATGATTTGTGCTCCGTTATAGAAACGTGGGGGGGGGTTGGGGGGGCGTGGGCCTCGTCATCTTTCATCCGTCAGCTGTCAGATCTGGGTGGATGGCTTGTCGATCGCTGGTAAGGCTCTGGGATCTGGCTGGCTCTGCGATATACTTTACATGTAGCTTTTACACAGCGGACCAATGTATGTATGTATGTATGTAAAAAAATTGCACTGCCTTGTTCTCCTCGTTTATTCACCTCACATGTAAAAAAAAAAAAAAAAAAACCCCTTCATTCCCCCGCGAGCTAGGAAGGCCGGGTAGAGTACGATATATGTTGCGCGTCCGTCTAGGGTTTCAACTTTTTTTTTTCGGCGATAAGCTAGCTAGCTAGCTGTAAGGCGTCGGGCCCGGGGCTAACGTGGGGTCCTCCTACCTACCTACCTACCTACCTACCTACCTACCTACCTACCTGGTATGGTTATGGTTATGGGTCCACTGGTTTTTGTTTTCCTTCTTCTTGTTCTTTGTTTAGAGCCCACGTTGTGAGAGCCCGCCGATCGAGTCGGGGACTAGGCTGGCTCCGGGGCCGAAGTGACGAATGTAGGTACATGCGTTATAATACGAAGCGTACGTATGCTTTTCTTTCCTGTGGTGACTTTTGGATCTGGGATTGGTGACTTGATGGCTGGGGTGACGTTGGTTTCGATATAAGCTTTATAGTTAAAATTTCATCTTATCATGTGCGTGTGTATGCTTAGGACTAGATCTCGTATTGCGGTATCGATGTTGTGTCAGCTACATGCTACATGACATTGCAATGGCCAATTAGTACTGATTAGATTAGATGGATGTAGATATAAGGAATAGGTGCTACAGACTTTATACTTGCTACATGTAACTATAGCTAGTAACAAGTCTGTGAATGAAGGCTCCGGGTTTCCCCCCTACAGTTCTGTGTACCTACAAGTACCTGTACTTCACTCCGCCCACAGTACACGAACCACAACACAAACCCAACATCTCTGCACCTGCAGGAACCAGAACCCTCTCACTGCACTTTACGGCCATAACAAAGCCGCAGCCCAGCCCGCCAAGCCCGTGGCCACATCCTCTGAAAGAAAAAAAAAGCGCCAATGTGGCAGTGTGCTTGTCTTGGCGAATCACAGCATACAGATTTTTTTCCTTGGTATGGATGGAGTGGTGGTGGTGGTGGTGGTGGTGGTGGTGGTGGTGGTGGTGGTGGTGGTGGGTTCCGAGGACGGGGAGAGAGGGAGAGTGTATCCGAGTTGTCTGTTTGGTAGGTACCAAGAGACCAAGAGACCGGGAGTACCTACAATACAATAGAACCATTGGTCTGATACCCTAAGTATACGGGTACGAGGTGATACGTCTCGCAATGTACCTACTCTATATACCTGCAGCTGGGGGGAGTTGTTCTAGGTACTCTACTGTGCTGGCATGATTATATGGGTGAAGTGTATACATATACGAACATACTACAAGCTAGTGGGGGGGCTATTTCACCATGGCTGGGCGACGTCTTGGATCCTTCTTAATCCGTATGTGGCAGCTCAGAATCTACTTCAGAGGCGGGCCATATCGTTCTTTAGAGATTACAGCTACGGGTGGCATGTAGTAATCATTACCACTTTCCCTCGCCTCATTTCATTTCAGATGCTCGTAACAACTATACTCGGCATCATGGCATCTCATCTCGCCACCGGCCCGGCCCTTCCCAGCTAAGCAGGTGCTCGTATATCGGCCAGTTTCATCGGCCTGGCGTGACGCGCTATAGCTCGGCGCCGAGACCGTGCCAACTCTTGACGCCGAGGCGTGGGCCGTGATGTCCGGAGGTGAAGCATGTTTGGGACGATTAGTTGGCATTAATTCGGAACACGCTGCGCTGCAGCTGGGGTCCGGTACGGGAGGAGTAGGAGGAGTGGGGTGTGCTGGTTCGAGTTAAGTGCAGTAGGTACTAGGTGGGGATCGATGTATGATGTTGTGGGAGATTTGGAGTCCTTTTTTTTCACAAGGAGGAGAGAGAGAGATCGAGAATGGAATAATCAGCAGCATCCAGCTGCCACGCACTCTTCTCGCGGTGACTCTTTCATCATAACAACTCACTCACTTACTCACTCACCCTACCCCACCCGGCCACCCACTCTCATCTTCACACCCAATCACACGGTTGCAATCACCATTTATCACTCGCACCCTTTCCCTAGCCCCACCCACAACCCTACGTATCTACATACCACCACGAACCCCCCCAGCCGATTTCCAGTAGATTACATACTCTATGTTTATTTATGCTTCATCCCCCGGCCCCCTCCCCTCCCCTCCTCCTCCTCCTCCTCCTCCTGCTTCTACTTTACAAATCTAAAACACGGGAGTACCCACCCATCCATGGACCCTTCCCTTCCCTTCCCATCCCAGGTCCCGGTCGGTGCCGGAACTCCGGTCGGAAAGTGCAGTGTGCAAAAGTGCAATTAGCCTTTTATCCCAGAGGGGAAGGATTTGGGGGGGGGGGGGGGGAGTTAGCGAAGCATTTTGAATCGGACTGGATGGTCGAGGGTATATATATGCTTTTTGGGAGGTATGTACTAGGTAGGTAGGAGTAAATTTAAGGGTTCTAATTTTGGAGAGTGTCTCTGGTTTGGTCTGGGTGGATGGCTGGGTGTATTGTATATACGATAAGTGCGATTGGGGGGGAGCTGCAGGGTGGGAGTTATAGGTACGTATTTATGTAGGTGCGTAAGGAGGTGAAGTTGGCCAGTCGGTCATTTCCAGAACCCCCCCCTAGTGCCGAAGCCCGTGAGACTCGAGGGGTTTTAATACGGCTTAGCTCTAGCTAAGCACTATCCCTCCGTTCCTCCCTACCTCATAGAGTATGTTGCGCATGCTCAGTAGAGCACAATGTAAAACCCTTTTTTTTTTCTTACAGGGCAGCTTTTCCCTCTTTATTTCCCTCCCCATGTCGGTCCGTTATAATTATGGTTATTATTATTCCGCAGAGCTAGAGCCAGAGCAGATTTTTTCTCCTTTCCCTGTAGGTAGTT